CGGGCGGATTGCTAGAGGTCGGGAGTTCAAAACCAGCCTGAGCAAGAACGAGACCCTGTCTCTACTAAAAATAGAAAGAAATTAATTGGCCAACTAATATATATAGAAAAAATTAGCCGGGCATGGTGGCGCATGCCTGTAGTCCCAGCTACTCAGGAGGCTGAGGCAGGAGGATTGCTTGAGCCCAGGAGTTTGAGGTTGCTGTGAGCTAGGCTGACGCCATGGCACTCACTCTAGCCTGGGCAACAAAGCGAGACTCTGTCTCAATAAGTAAATAAATAAATAAATAAATAAGACATTTCTCCAAAGGAAAGGTATCAATGGCCAATATGCACATGAAAAGATGCTCAACACCATTAGGCTTTAGGGGAAATGCAAATCAGAACCACTATGAGACCCCATCTCACATCCATTTGAATGACTACGATTAAAAAAAAAAACGAAAAAAATAAGGGTTGGCAAGGATGTGGAGAAATTGGAACCCTTATGCATGGCTGGTAGGACTGTAAAATGGTACAGCCACTGTGAAAATAGTTTGGAGGTTTCTCAAAATATTAAACACAGAATTATCATACGATCCAACAAGCCCACCACTGGGGATATACCTGAAAGGAGTGAAAGCAGGGACTCAGATGTTTGTACACCCACGTTCGCAGCAGCAGCATTTATAGTAGCAAAAACATGAAAGCAAGGCCGGACGCGGTGGCTCACGCCTGTAATCCTAGCTCTCTGGGAGGCCGAGGCGGGTGGATTGCTCAAGGTCAGGTGTTCAAAACCAGCCTGAGCAAGAGCGAGACCCCGTCTCTACTATAAATAGAAAGAAATTAATTGGCCAACTAATATATATAGAAAAAATTAGCCGGGCATGGTGGCGCATGCCTGTAGTCCCAGCTACTCGGGAGGCTGAGGCAGGAGGATTGCTTGAGCCCAGGAGTTTGAGGTTGCTGTGAGCTAGGCTGACGCCATGGCACTCACTCTAGCCTGGGCAACAAAGTGAGACTCTGTCTCAAAAAAAAAAAAACATGGAAGCAACCCAAAGCAATCCGTCTGCCGCCACACAAATGGATAAACTACATCCTGTCTGGCCGTGCAATGGAATATACTTCAGCCTTAGACAGTAGGAAATTCTCTCATATGCCACAACATGGAGGAACCTTTGTGGACATTATGCTGAATGACTAAGCCGGTCGCAGACAGACAAATACTGCATGATCCCACTTAAGTGAGGTCCCTAGCGTCATCAGAGTCACAGGCACAGAACGGTGGTGGCCGGGGCGGGGGGAGGGGAAAACTGGGGGTTAGCATTTGAGGGGTACCGTTTCAGTTTCAGCCTCTCAGCATGAAAAGTTCTGGAGGCGGATGGTGGTGATGGCTGTACACCAATGTGAAAGTACTCGATGCCACTGAACTGTTCACTTAAAAATGGGTACAACGGTAAATGTTATCTTGTTTTATTGCCACAATAAAAGAAAAAAAAAAAAAACAGGGACAACCAGAGGCCAGGGCAGGTCAGGTTGGGGACAGAGGTCAGCCAGACGACACTCACCATCACTGCCATCGCCCTCCGCCCTCCCAGGCTCAGCCAAACACACGGGGCCAGTTTCAGGGCGCACATGTCAGAGGCCCGGCCCCTCTCCCCGAGGGCGCTAGGGTGGCCACAGCTCCCAGCTGAAGGCGGCCGTGCCTGACTCCAGCCCAGCGCACCAGAAAGCTGTCCAGGAGGCGTGGGGACTCCCAAGAATGGAAGCCGCCACTCAAGGCTGCGACCTCTGAGCCTGGACACCATCTCCTCTCCAGGAGAATTTCCCAGAAGATGCAAGATGGAGGTTTCTCCCAGGGACCGGGGAGAGTCCCAGTAGCTGTGGTGGAGGTTTGGCCTGTACGGCCCGGCAGAGGAGGGGCCTGGTCGCCACCTCACCCCACCCCTTCCCCTGGGTCCACAATGAGGCAGGAGCTCACCCACCGCTCAGCTCTGCCACCCCAGGGACAGGGGGCCTCGGGGCCGTCAGGGATGAAGAAGAAGCTGAGGTGACTTTTTCTCCAGTTCAGAAGCAAGGAGAAAGGGACTTCTGCTGTGATTCAACACAAGGTAGAGAGTCCCCTCCTGTGTGCTCCAGGAGGTGGGGGTGGGGGCTCTCGGGGGGATGAGAAGGGGCTGGAGGGCACTCCAGGCTTCCTCAGCAGCGGCTGGTCCACAGCCTGGCCTGGCTTCCAGGGGCAGAGTCCAAGGGGCCCCCAGGCACAGTCCTCAGCACCAACATGGTGCCACATGAGGGCTGGGGCCGCTGTTCCACCCCTCCTCCACAGCTGCCCCACCCAGAGGGTCCTTGGAGGGTGCCTGACTAGAACCCTGTGCTCCCCTGGGGAGGGTCACTCAGGGAACCAGCACAGGGACACAACACAAGAACCTGACTGGCCACCCCGTCACCATGAATAGACCCCATGAACATTGGGCATACAAAATTAGCCAGGCATGATGGTGTGCACCTGTAGTCCCAGCTATTCAGGAGGCTGAAGAGGGAGGATCGTTTGAGCCCAGGAGTTCAAGACTGCAGTGAGCTATGATCATGCCACTGCACTCCAGCCTGAGACCCTGTTTCTAAAACAAAACAAAAAGGCTGAAAAGACAAGGTGCAGACTCAGAGGCAGTGGGTCAGACATAGCTATAATTGCAGTAACAGAGGTGCAAATTAATCATCCCTTGCATAAAACCCATTCACTCAAGAATATTTTTGAGCACCTATTAAATGCCAGCCAGTGTTCAGGGTGCTTGTTGTTCCCACCCTCAAAGAGCTTACCTTCTGGCAAGAAACACAGACAAAAAACATACAGTAAAGTAGGAAAATGATATGGTACATGGTTAACTTTATTATACTACATGTCAGGTGTCATGTGCAAGTTATAAAAGAAAAAAACTGCACAGGGGTCAGGTGGGTGGAAAACGTGGTTTAATGCTCCTTGGTTCACCCCCCACCTGCTGGAAGCTGCTTCCCAGCCTCCTTCAACGGCTCCTCCATGTCTTCGCAGCCCCTTAAAGTTTGACATCCCAAGCTCACCCATCGGTCATCTTTTCTATCTATCTTCCTCCATAGGTGACCTCATTCTATGGGTGCTTTAAATCCCATCTGTCTGCAGGGGACTCCCAAATTCACATCTCCCACCCGGATCCCTGGCCCAGTCCCCCATCCCATGCATCTAGTAGGCATTTCACATTCACACGTCCCCAACCCACCCCTGCCCCTCCCCCAAACACACCCGCCCACACCTTCCCTGGTTCAGTCAACGGACACTCCAGACTTCAAACCTTACAAAGCATCCTCAATTCCTCTCGCGTACACAACCCCGGAGTCTAAAGAAGCCTCCACCCTTCTCACCACCCACACTGCTGCCTGTCCTGTGGTCCCAGTACCCTACTTCCCATTGGGATTATTGCAATCTCCTTGCAGTCTTCTGGCTTCTAACCAGCAGCAGGAGTGATGCTTTAAAAGTGTAACTCAGTGTTGTAAACTGCATCATTCGTAATAGCCAAAAAGTGGAAACAAAGGAAATGCCCTTCCAACAATGAATGGCAAATTGTGGCATGTCCATTACAATGGGGTATTATTCCACCATAAAACGTAAGGAGGTACTCATACATGCTACAACATGGATGAACAGTTGAAAACATGAGGGAGGATGAAAGAGGCCAGACACAAAAGGTTCCACGTACATGAAATGTCCAGAACAGGCAAATCCATAGAGACAGGAAGTAGATTAGTGGTTGGGGGGAGGGGGCGGGGGCGGCAGTAAATGCCATCAAGTATTGCGTTTCTTTTGGGGGTGATGAAAGTGTTCTAAAATTAGACAGCGGCGAGGGGTTGCACAACTTTGTGACTATACTAAAAACCACTGAATTTTATACTTCCAAAGGGTGAACTGTATGGTATGTGCACTGTATCTCAATTTTTTTTAAAATGTTATGGTAGCTCAGCTGGCGTCACCCCGTCCCACACTGCAGTAAACCGGGGTACTTACTGGCCTGGGAGGCCCTTCTGGTCCGCGCCCCCGAGCCCCCCTCCCACCACCACTGGTCTTGCTGCGCCTGGAACCTCAGCTCCCCCTGCTTCCACTCTTCTGTTCCCTCTGCCCGGCAGACCCTTCCCCACCACCCACACACCTGGCCCCCACCCCAGCACCTCTGCAGCCTCCTCTGACCACACCCCTACCGCTCCCCACCCTCCGCTCCCACCCCGAGTAGGGACTCCCTTTTCCCTGGCTCTCACGGACTTCCTGCATACTGCGCGATTTTCCTGTTTGTAGGATGGAAACTGAGGACCAGCGGAGACCATCCGTGCTTTGTTTACCGATTTTTCCCCAGCACCTACTGCCTGGCACACAGTAGGCGCTCAATAAATTTTTTTTTTTTTAGTAAATGACTATTGGTTTAAAAACATTATTTATACTTTAAAATCACAATAAACCTCTGTGTTTCCTGCACACACAAAACGTCCCTGGGGGCACTAAGGAACATTCCCGACGTTTGTTTGTAAATGTTAACGTGGCCCTAACACCAGCTATTAGCGTATGCGATTCAGTGGGATCTAGGAACCGCAGGCCCCGCACCGGCCCCGCACGCAGTAAGGCTGCACCGCGCTTTGCGAAAGGACAAGCTCAGCAGAGGCGGGAGCCTCCCCGGCAGCACCGAGTGGGTTCTCGGGACGCACAAAGCCACCAGGTTTCCACCCGGGAAAAAAACAAGGGTATCCGCGAGGCGCAGGCGCACAGGCCGCCCCACGCTTGGAGCCGCAAGCCCGGGCGGAAACGGCTACAGCTGTGCTCGGGGCGCATGCGCGGGCCGGAGATCTCGCAACACAAACGGAAAGAGAGTTCCGCGGCGGATTTCCGGTGGTGGGCGCTAGGGTGCCGGATGTGAACTGGCGGGGCAGAAGACCGGAAGGCGGCAGGCCCTGGTGCGAGCGGTCCGGCCCGGCCAGGGGCGGTGAGCTGTGGGTGGTGGGCGCGCGGGGGGCCGCGTCGGAGCCCCGCAGGCCGCCGTCGCCGCCATGGACCGCTTCCTGGTGCTGCTGCACTCGGTGGCGGCCGGCCTGTCGGCCAGCGAGCTGAGCGACCTCAAGTTCCTGTGCCGCGAGCGGGTGGGCAAGCGGAAGCTGGAGCGCGTGCAGAGCGGCGTCGACCTCTTCTCCGTGCTGCTGGAGCAGAACGACCTGGAGCCCCAGCGCACCGACTTCCTGCGCGAGCTGCTCACCTCCCTGCGGCGCGGCGACCTGCTGCAGCGCCTGGACGACTTCGAGGCGGGCGGCGCGGGCGGGGCCGCGCCCGGGGAGGAAGGTGGGCGCCGGGCCGGCGGGGCGGGCGGGGGCTGTTGGCCCAGTTGTGCTTGTTGCGAGCCTGCCGGGCGCCCAGGCTTTGCCTGGTTTGATTTGCGGGCATTTTCCCCGAATAACCCTGGGACGCGGGTGGGCGGGCCCGCTTTGCAAATGGGAGAGCCAAAATTCAGAAGAGTTAACTTACTCAAGGTTGCAGAGCCTGGACACCCACTCTCGATCCTCAGTATTTTCTCCACCACCCCACTGTCTCCAGTAAATTAGAAAGGTCACTGAGGAAAATGGTGTCGCAGGCCGGGCTCACGCCTGTAAATCCTAACACTGGTAGGCTGAGGTCGGAAGGTCATTTGAGCCCAGGAGTTCGATACCAGCCTCAGCAAGGGTGAGACCCCAGGTGTACAAAAACTAGAAAGATCAGCTGGGCGTGGTGGCTCACTTCTGTAATCCTACCACTTTGGGAAGCTGAGGCAGGAGAATCGCTTGAGCCCAGGAATTTGAGGTCAGTGATCTAGGAAGACTTCACTTAACTCCAGCGAGTTGAGCTAGTTAGACTCATTCTCAATAAGAAAAATGGTGTTGCTAGCATTTGGGCGGAGAAGGGGAAGAGTCAGAGAAGGTGGGGCAGAGGTTAGGTGAGCCTGCTGCACTTTCTGTTTCGGAATATGCCTTTCATAGCTGTCTTGAGAATAATATCATCTTTCAGTAACTCTTATCCAGGAGCTTGCAGTGTACCACTTACTGTTGTAAGCATTTGATTTATTTGATTTCCACAATAATGCTGGGAGTTATGTTATCGTCTATCATTTCTGTTTTACAGAGGAGAGGGCTGTGGCTCAGAAGTGTTAAGTGGCTTGATGAAATGCACAGCTGATAAGAGCTAGGCTTGACCAAGGCAGTGTGCAGTGTGGTGGTATTAGCGGCTATATTGCCTCTCTGGGCGAGTTTATTCTGGAGTGTCTTCCTGCCCTCCTCTCAGTCACCTGCTTTGTCCACTGTCACCTGTGGCTTGCATCTACTTCCGGAAGTAAAAATGAGACCTAACGGCAGCAGGGTTTGTCAGCCCTATCCCCATGTTCTCAGAGCCCAGGGCAAGGGGCTTAGGGAATGCTTCCAGGACACCCCTCACAGGCTTCAAGTTGTGGCCTTGAATCAGCCATTCAGTTACTGAACCAGTCAGGGCATAAACATGTGACACCGGGGTTGTCACTCTGTAAGGATTGGTGACAAGATGGACAGTACAGCTATGCCTGAAAGCATTTAAGTCTAGATTTTAAAAAATACCTAAACATCACTGGACAAACAGAACAGAACATAGAAAAACTGGGCTTTTGGCTGGACTTGATGGCTCATACCTGTAACTCCAGCACATTGGGAGGCCGAGGCAGTAGGATTACTTGAGGCCAGGGATTCATGATCAGCCTGGGCGACATTGTGAGACCCTCATCTCTACAAAAAATTAAAATTAAAGAAAAAACAATTAGGCATGGTGGCACATACCTGTAGTCCCAGCTACTTGAGGGACTAAGGTGGATGGATCACTTGAGCCCAGGAGTTTAAGGCTGCATTAAGCTGTGATCACTTCATTACACTCCATTCCTGGGCAACAGAACAAGACCTGTGTTTCAAAAAGAAAAATTGGGTTTTCAAGGATGTTTAATGACTGGAAAAACACTGATGAATTTAACCGGCAGACTACAAAATATTTGTCTTTTTAGATTTATGTGTATATCTGTGGGTGTTTGGCTACAGTTACGTAGTTGCAGTATGTTAGCGGCAGTACACCAAAAGAAGCTTAACAGCAGGTATGGGCAAGTTGATAATGGGTGATTCTGTATTTTGCCTTTACCAAAAGCAGTTTAGTACAGTGTTTAAGTTGCATTCTGGCACCATATTTCAGGTTTCAGATCATAGCTCTGCTATTGTCTAGCTGAATGACCTCGGGAAAGTCATTTAACTTCCCTGTGCCTCAGTTTCCTCATCTGTACAGGTGGTCTTAGTAACACCATTGCCCAGCCCATAGGGTTGTCTGCAGTGTCTCAGAATTTCTAGGAGTCCTCCAAGCAGCATCCTGTCTTGCCTCTCTCCTTACCCCTCCGCACATCCCAGAAACAGCCTTTTATGGTCTCTGGTGCCAGCTTGCTGATCTCGGTAGTGACTTCATGTGAGGAGTGTGGGAGCCAGGGACCAAAGACTGGTGGTTGGTCAGTCGGGGCAGCTTTAAAATAATGACTGGGGTGTGTACTAGTTTCCTGTGGCTGCTGTAACAAGTTAGTACAAATTTGGTGGGTTAAAGCAACAGAAATTTATTCTCACAGTCTGGAAGCTAGAAATCTGAGAAAGCAAGGTATCGGTAGGGCCTCATTCCCTCTGAATGCTATAGAGGAGAATTCTTCCTTGTCTTCCAATTTGAGGTGGCTCTAGGCCAGGGTCCTCAAACTTTTTAAACAGGGGGCCAGTTCACTGTCCCTCAGACCATTGGAGAGTGCGGCGCACATTCTACACATGCACATCGTGGGCCCGGGATGAGTCGGCTGCTAAGCAGGACAGGCAGCGGTGGCAAAAACACCCAGCAGGCTGGATAAATGTCCTCGGTGGGCCATAGTTCTCCTGCTAGGCATTCCTTGGCTTGTGGTCAGGTCACTCCAGTGTCCTCTGTCTTCATAAGGCCTTCTCTGGGTGTGTCTTCTAAGGGTATGTGTCATTGGGTTCAGGGCCCACCCAGGTAATCCAGAATCTCCTCAAGATTTTCAAGTTCATTAACATCTGCAAAGACTCTTTTTCCAAATAAGTTAACATTCACAGTTCTAGAGATTTGAAGTGAATGGATCTTTGGGGGGTAGGGGGGTATGCCATCTTTGAATAGGGTAGGATGTGGGAGCAGCCCCATTTCCTTTCTTCTGACAGCCCCCCAGCTCCTCCCTCAGTTTCCTCTGTCCTAAGCTCTAGCAATGAAGTCTTCAGTGGGCCATAGCTCTCTGGGTGGTAATTTAGGGGAGGGGCCTGGCTGGGGCAGGTTTGGAGGCCATTCTCTGACAGCCCCTCTGCGTTGGCTGACTATAGCCTCTGCAGAGGACCTCATGGGGGGCACTTCTATCTACCAATACTCATATCAGCACTGAGAAGCCCATTGTGGGGGGGGCTCTAGGGTTGCCTGTTTCCTAAAGTGCTCCCCAAACTTCTAGTAAGTCATTTTGTCCTTTCTCTCCTTAGACCTGAGTGCAGCGTTTGACATCATATGTGACAATGTGGGGAGGGACTGGAAAAGACTGGCTCGTCAGCTTAAAGTCTCTGAGGCGAAGATGGATGGCATCGAGGAGAGATATCCCCGTAACCTTAGAGAGCGGGTAAGGGAGTCCCTGAGAATCTGGAAGAATATGAAGAAGGAAGATGCCACGGTGGCCCGTCTGGTGGAGGCGCTCAGGGCCTGCCGGATGAACCTAGTGGCCGACCTCGTAGAGGAGGCCCAGCAGGCCCAGGGCCTCCAGAACCAGAGTGGGGCCATGTCCCCAATGTCATGGGACTCAGACACGTCTGCCTTGGAAGTGCCCTGATGAGTGCTGCTCTGCCCCAGTGGACGGTGGGCATCTGCACAGGCTGGACCTCAGGTCTTCCATGAGGGTGGCCAGGTGCCTTCTGTGCCCGGCCCCCTGAAGACACAGTGAGCCAGGCTGAGGTGAGCCCCACTCTCAGAGCCACAGACTGGCCGCTTCTGAATTCAGGCTGTGCCGGTGCTTCCTCCATGCCAGGCAGGGCCCAGACACTGCACAGATACTTCTGTTTATTCTTCACCGTCGCTCTGAGAGCAAGATCCTGTCATCTCCACTAAACAGCCTGCTGCAGGAGAAAGCTGGAACTGTCTGGCACATGGAAGGAATCTGTACAAATTGGCCCTTATTCCTCTTACTCAATGGGTGAGGAAACCAGCTCAGAGAGGTCGAGGAACTGGAGCAAAGTCTGCGAGTAGTAGCAGGAGAGCTGGTGTCCAAGCCCACACCTTCTGGCCCAGACGCCACGCCTTTAGTCTTTGTGTCTTCTTCTGCCCACATGGTTGGCAAAAAGGACGTTTTAGCCCATTTCCTCGTGGGCCGTCAGGGCAGACCTGGACACGAGGACCAGATGGCGTGAAGGGTGAGACGCGTCCCAGTCCAGAAGTCTGGAGGCCTGGTTCGGCCAGTGCTCAGCCTTTGAAGGGGCCGAGTCTCCGAGGATGAGCTGAGATGTCTGCTGAGTGCTCACAGTCACACTCTGTAGATGTCCCTATGAGGATTATGATTCCTGCGGTTCTTAAGTTTGCTACTGTTTTGTATCCAAATCAGTATCTTTCTGATAACAAAATGGGCAAGGAGGTGGGATCCTCAAATCTTCTTGCTTCTAAGGTAAGCCTATTAAAGCAAATGCCTTTACAGTGGAAACCTGAATTACAAAAAATTTTCCATGCCTTTTAATACACTGAAGCCCCAACAGCCAATTACAGCGTTACTTGCACCTTGTCGTGGCCTCAGCTTGTGAATGTGGCAGCTGGATTGCCTGACAGCTCACTGGCCACGAGTAGGCACACAGCGGTCAGCTGTCGGGTCTTTTGCCACTTTCAGGATCCATTTGTCCCAACTCCATGGCTGTGACCTTGGGACAGTCTCATGCCTTACTAAACCATCTTGACCTTGGTTGCTGAAATCGTAGCCAAGGTTGTGGGGGCACTGTCTCCACTAAGCTGTGGACCTCGGCCTTGGAGCTCCTCCACACGTTGGCCAGATGATTCTGGATACCAGGCAGCATGCTGGGAGCCGGGGCCGTGGCAGTGAGTGAGACAGAAGTGGCCCTGCCCTGTTGGCGCTGAAAGCCCAGCCAGGAGCACAGGTCGTCACCAGCTTGGGGTGCTGCCCAGGAGCTGAGCCCGCCCCTGTGTTACTCGCTGTAAGCTTCAGCTCAGGGCTAGTTCTGTAAAGAAGAACGTCATTTCTCACGGACTGAAGTGTGGGCAGCTTGGCTTTGGGGAATAAGTTTTCTGGGAGGGAAAAAGAATCGATATCTCTCGAGCGGAGGCAGAGGTTCTACATTCCCATAAAAGTTTATGGTATCAGCTGCTATAATGTGGAAATGTCCTACGTCTGCTTTGGTGCTTCTCATACCTGGCAGGAGTCCGCCCTCCATCACACCAGGTGTTCTGAAAGGGGTCTGGGGAACGTGACGTTAGTGCACCTGCAATTTTCCATTGCTTGGAGCAAACGCCAGGCCAGGCTCAGTCCCCAGTCTGTTGCTGGCTTAACTCCTGGCCTGTCCCGCAGTCCTGTGTTGGGTGAGGGCGCTGGGTCTCCTGCCCTTGGCACTGACCTTCCAGGATCTCCCCACGCTGAGGGTGAGGGAGAGGAACTCGGGCTTCACAGCAGACCTGGGCCCTGCTCCCAGCCCCATCAAGCCCTGCCCAGGGTGCGGCACGCGGCGGGATTCCCAGCCTCAATCTTCCCTGTCCTCGCTGCCCGACCGCACTTGCTGTCCACCTCCAGGACTGGAGGGGGCTGGCCCCACCCCGACAGCAAAGCCACAGAGCATGGTGACATGTGGCACACTTGCCCCAGGAGGTGAACATTGACGTGTGCAGGAGACTGCCCCAGGAAGATGGGACTCGGCCAGAGGCATCCCTTTGTTCAGCCAATCCATGAAGCAGCCACCATAGCGGGGCACGGTGCCAGACGCTGGGGCCGCAGCAGAACAAGATGGGCAACTGTCCTCAGGAAGCACCGGGTGTTCCCAATGTCATAAAACAAGGGGAAAAGCGAAGAACGTATGCACAAGTGTCTGAAATAGCATAAATGCCTACATCATTGCTGAAAGTGCAGAGACGATAAGTATTTGATGTAGCTGATGGTTTGCAAGATGATAAGCTGTGTATACTTTATATTTTCCACATTTCTGTAATGGTGCTTTTTTTAAAAAATGACCCACCAGATACTGAAATAGATGCAACTTGGACTGTTCGGTGGGGAGTGTTCCCAGAGCAGCGAGCGTGTGAGGTCCCGTCCTGGCTCTGCCCCTCGTGACTCCATCCCTCCAAAAGGGGCCAGTAGGTAAAAATTGTCAAAATCTGGGGTGACTTGTTTCTCAGGTGCCCTTGAAGCAGGCAGTGAGATTGTACCCAGAGCCCCAGGGGCCAGTCCAGAGGTTACTCTGTTGCCTCTCTGTGGTTCACTCAGAGCCCTTGAGCTCAGCAGCAGCCTGTGGTCGTGGGGCCCCGCCCTCCTGCCTGCCATCTGGACAGATCCACAGAGGCAGAGCACTTGTGAGCACCGACTTGGGCCCCGCCGCACGGGGAACATCTTCACAGCCTGTCCTGGGACAGATGGGACCGTATCCACTCAGCACCATGACCTTTGGGACAGGTTCAGTCACACGCCATCCTTAGTTGGGATGATTGTTGGACAAAGATTTCTTGTACCAACTTTACTCCAAAAATTATGTTCCTCTTTTTTATTTTGCAATCCCTTAAAACTTATGTTTCTGAAAAAGGTGCACATAAATACGGGGTTTTCTTGAAAACTAAAGAGCCACATCTTGCTCTCCTAGTCTTTCCCCTGAGAAAAAAAAGTCCAAATGTCTGTTCTTTGCAGGGAACCTTGGGCCTGTGCTGGGGAATTTGATCCAGCACTTGCTGGGACAAAGGGACAATCCCATGTCTTCAGGCTCCTGGATTTCCAGGTGCCTTTGCTCCGCCTGCCTCACACTGTGCCCCTCCAGGACTCGGGCCCTCACATTCCTCTAGCTGCCTTCTGCCCCCGGCACTCCTGAGACCACTCCCCACAAACTGCCCCTGCTCAGTCCCAGGCTGCCTCTGCCCCATGTGCTTTTTCATTCTGTCTTGCTCAGCCACTGGGCCCCTGGCACTTCTCGAGACCATTCTGTCGCCAGCCTTCCTCTTATCTCCCTCCTGGGCCTTGCCTGGCCCAGGTCTTTCTCCTAGGCCTGCCTGCAGACCCACATCGAAGACGTAGAAGAAAATACATTTCTTCTTTGCAGCTTCTAGAAGCCACCTGCCTCTAACTCATGGCCCTTCCCTCCATCTTCAAGCCCGCACTGTAACATCTTCCAATCTCTGGCTGACTCTCCTGCCTGCATCTCAGTAAGATCCTTGTAATGACGTGGGGCCACCTGGCCAATCCAGATCATCTCGCCATGTCGGCATCCTTAAATCCACATCTGTGAAATCCCTTTGCCACGTGAAGGAAAGTGTTCAGCGGTCCTGGGAATGAGGATGTGGGCACGGGCGAGGGTGCCTGCTCTGCCCACCACACACCTGAGACTCGCCGTCTCCCGCACCTGTGCCCAGTTGCGTGCCTGACACCACAGACCCTCCTTCCTCTCACTGGTGCTCACTCTTCCCCCCACGTATGCCTGAGGCCTCGGGAGCATTCCTCCTGCCCTGCTGCCACCCGGCTCCCTGCAGGGCCTGGCCCCTGCTCTCCAGACAGCCTCAGCACGTGACTTCCTAACTCATCCTCCCTCTGCTGTGGCCTCTTCCCCCCACCCCCTCTCCCATCCCACCCTGCCTGCAACAGGAGACAAATACTGTAGACCCTGACTCTGTTCTTGGAAACCATGAACTTTGTACACATTTTTTAGTTTTATATTCTTATTTCCAGATGACCATTCTGAGTCATCCTGCTGATCACTCTTTAACCACACCATTCCTGTGTGAACTGTGTCTGGAACCAGACCATGACGAGGACAGCATGTGCTCGTGCCAAAATGACCACAGTCACCACTACTCTGCTGATCTGAAGGCAAGGCTTCTCTTCCAGGGAAGATTTGCAATTGAAAGCCATTTTCCTCAAAGAAGCCCTTAGTTTCTTTTCTTCTTCTTTTTTTTTTTTTTTTTTTCCCCCTTAGTTTCATGAGTCATTTACCAAGTTGAGACCCTGTGGCAAGAATCATGTATATGAACCATATTAATTGTCGCCAAGGAACAGAGGCCAATTCAGCGCATGAATGGGGTCTTCATCCAGGGAAAGCCAAGTGACATATGAACCAGGTTTTCATGGTGTGACTTGAATAGAAAAAAGAATGTCATGGGCCATTTGAGTGACCCCAGGCACAGGGCAGGTACAAGGCCTCCCAAACCTACCTGATGGCACTCCATAGGCATGAGGGTATGATTTTATTTCAGCAAAACATCACATGTTATTTAATTTTAAACAGAATGAGCTTCTGTTTGGAATGAAGAGAAAGTTGTGAAGCTGGGTGGGGGTGATGGTTGCAGAACATTGTGAATGTACTTAATGCCACTGAGCTATGCGTTTAAAATGGTTAAAATAAATTGTTATGTATATTTTGCCATAATTAAAAAAATAAAGCTTGAAATAGTTGGATTAAAGAAAGATGTGAAGTGAATCATGGCACAGGAAGATAATGAATCCGGCTCCAATTAGAGACGTGAGAAATTTATGATAAAAGTGGAGTTTCAAATTAGAAAAAAGTTGATAAATGGGGTTGAGACAACTGGGAAGAGCTGCTGCATTCCTACCTCCTGCCTTCTACTAAAAAAATGGATGCAAGATGTGAATGGTGGGGGAGAGGGAGAAGCTGCCAACCTGGGAGGATTTCCTTGTCGTTTTGAAGACAGCCAGGTTCAGTGGCTCACGCCTGTAATCCTAGCACTCAGAGGCCAAGGCGGGAGCTCAGGAGTTCGAGACCAGCCTGAGCAAGAGCGAGACTCCGAGTCTCTACTAAAAATAGAAAAAAGTAGCTGGGTATCTGGGCAAGCGCCTGTAGTCCCAGCTAGCTATTCAGGGGCTGAGGCAGGAGGATCTCTGGAGCCCAGGAGTTCGAGACTGCAGTGAGCTATCATCCTTGTGGAAGGACCTTCTGGAAAAGTGTCCAGACTGCAGGCACCCGGGTCCTTGTTCCTGAGATTCAGAGCTGGTGGAGCCAGTACCGACTAGTACTAGTCCCAGTACTAGTACTGCCCCAGGCAGAAGGACTACTTAATCATCAGCTGTTAAGTGCTACTGTCTTCTGCTCTATCTGCCCCAACCATCTTGCCTCTCCAACCAAATTGCTGAGGACAGGCTGGGACCTTTTTAACTCAACTTTGATCTCAGATTGGAGAGAGCACTGGTGACAAAGCAGGTTTTACAGCCCAGGGCCACAGGGGTGGTCTGGACTCCCGCAGAGTGACACTCCAAGCCACCACCAAGCCTCCAGTTGACACCCCAGGGGGCACAAGGGTGTGTTTCTCTGGCAGCAGTTGGGCAGCTCCAGAGTGGACTGAGTGTCTGGGAACGCTGAGCCCCAGATTTAAAACCTGTCCTGCTCCAGCCTGGCAGTGACACTAGTGAGAGTCAAGTGGTGGGTTTGGCTCTTTGGTTTTGTCTTTAGATTAATCTGAGAGGCTCTGCCACCCAATTTGTAAAGCAGACTGGCATGAGTCACCCTAGTGAGAGCTGGAGTGATTTGGCAAGTCACAAGGTGGAGCCAGGACTTCAACCCAAGGCCTCTGGCGCCGAGGCCCATGCAGTTCCAGGACACCACGTGGCCTTTTCAGAGAAGGGGCCCTTTGAGTTGGTTTCTCAGGGTAAGCAGGAGTTCTCCAGGGCAAGCAGTAGAGGCCAGGAGGTGTGAAATCGGAGGGCAACAAATGGTTTGGTGAGGCTGTTCCTGGCAGATTTGGGAGAATGTTCTGGATTTTGTATACAAAAAGGAACCAGCAAAATGTTTTAAGCAGGACGATGGCATGATTATATGTGTGCACCACTGAATTAGAGACTCAGTATTTGTTCATTGGAAAATGAGAAAACAAAAACAACCAGATTCCCAAGATACTGTACTGCAGCTGGGGGCTGTGACAATGCATACCACCACCTGGGCAGAAAGTCGTCTGTTAGTTACGGCTGTAGGGTAGCTTTGGTTTGGGTTAATTTTCCTCCCAAAGTTCTTTGAGGGCTAGCATCTTGTTTTAGTCTCACAGGAACCTTGAACTGTACTTACAGACTGTTAGTCCCATTTGAGAGGTAAGGAAGTGGAGGAGGGGTCTGCGATTAGCAGGGTGGTCTGCGTAGGAAGTGGAGGAGTGAGGGTCTGGGTCCGGATGGTCTAGACATTGTGCCAGACCAGTGGAGCCAGCCTGCCCTGCAGAACCCTCTGGTTCCCAGACGGCTGCAACAGGCCCAGAAATCGTCCCGCCTCGGGACGGGGCAAAGCGCATCCCAGTCCGTGGTCCCTGGGAAGGCTGCCCAGCCGCTGTCCTCGTCTCTCGGCAGGCAGTTACCGGGGAACATGTGAGTGACAAACAGGTGACTTCACACTGCACAGGAGCAACCCCAAGAGCTAAAATGAGGCTTGTGTACACTCCAAAAATACTCTGCTGAAAATAAACCTGACTGCTGGCTCATGCCTAGGGCAGTCGGGTGGGGCCAGAGAGCCACCCTTCCCGTCCCCACACCCTTTTATTTTGGGAAAATCAAACCCACCCTTCCCCCACCCCAGAGTGTGCCTGCAGGAGGGAGGTGTGGCGCTGTTCCCAGGGACTCCAGCTGGAGAGTGTTCGGGCACAGCAGGAGGTGACCCTCCGTGCATTCACTCATTGCTTCGCCCCAGGTGTGCCCGGTCCCCTGCGCCAGGGCAGACAGCAGGGCGCAGGCGGACTCTGCAGTTGGCCAGGCGAGAGCTCAGGGAACCGCTTTCCTGCCATACGCTATTAACAGGTCTATTGTGCTGGCCCTCAGCCATTGTCACCCGAATCAGTCATTATCTGCCACTCTCTTACTTGGTCTCACTTGCGGGCTTAGCTTAACAGGGTGGGTTCCTCTCGGGAGACCTGTGACCTGGGTGTAAGGCGCCTGGGATGTCTTAAGTGCCCAATAAGTGACAGATGTGTTATTCCTGGCTGGCTCTCCACATCTGTCTCCCCTCTTCGCTCCTACCCTCCTGCAGGTCCCTCCCCACCCCCCATTTATGGCCCATAGGAATCAACTCACAAGAGACAGCTGGAAAAACCAAGGACCCGCCCGTGCACTTGAAGTGGCCAAGCACTGGGCAGAGAGCAGTCAGCGCGTGGGCGCTCAGCCCAGCCCAGGTGAGCAGGGAGAGGCACCTGGGCCAGCAGAGGGTGCGACGCGGAGCTGGGCATTCACAAGGGGCACTTCCAGTGAGCCCGTGGGGGCTGTGCTCCCGGTTTCCCCCTGCGGTGCTGCGTCTCCGTCACCAGTGTGGAGACTCGGAATCCCGGCAGCCTCTTCCAGGTCCTGGCAGAGCCCTGCTGCCTGATTTCATCTCCCTTCCCACGTAGCTGCACTCCACAGAGAGTTTTGGCTGACGTCGAGCTGTGTGAACAGCGGGGGCCAGCGTGTGTGTGTACCGGACGTGTTCCTGGGACCCGTCTGGCCGGTGCTCGCCATCGCTGATCACAGCCGACGTAACAGGCCGCAGTGGCAATGGGCCCTCACTTGGGGTCCCCTCCGTGTCCTCCCTGTGCTGAGATGAATAGCCCCCCAAAATTCATGTCCACCTGGAACCTCAGAATGTGACCCTCTTTGGAAACTGGGTCTTTATAGATACAGTTGAGCTAAGATGAGGTCATTCTGGAGTAGGGCGGGCCCCAATCCAATGACTGGTGTCCTTATAAGAGGGAAATTGGACAGAGAGACGCATGCAGGGAGAAAGTCACGTGAAAACGGAGGCAGAGACCAGAGGGAAGCGTCCGTGACCCAAAGAATGCCGAGCATTTCCAGCTATGGTGGTGAGTGTGGCTGTCTTCCAAGCCACAGGTGCAAGGGCTGCCAGGGCGGCCGCCAGCCCTATGCCCGACCCCAGTTTTGCCTTAGCCCGGGGGGGGGGGGTCTTCCCCACAACTTTGCCACTCTCCTTAGCAATCACCCTCCTTTCAAAAATAAGGAAATCGAAGCTCCGAGAAAGAAGTAGAGAGTGGGCCTGATGTTTACTGTGTGCCTTGCAGGAGCTCCACGCAGCGAGTCTTCGCTGCCCTCGGCATCCTGCAGAGAGAAGGCATCATCCCATTCGTAGACGTAAAGACTGAGGCTCAGAGCATCAAGGACCTTTGTTCTGCATCACAGACATATTTAGTGGCAGAACCAGAACCAGGACATGGGCCTCCTGATGCTGAGTCGCTACACCCTCCCTGCCTTCCCGGAGAAGGATGGAGGGGCTGGGACACCCCTGACATCTACAGCGGCTGTGGTAGGGTTAGAAGCCAGGCCCTGCACCCGGATAGTCGGAGTCAGCACTCGGGAGGAGGCGGGGTGGTGGCCCTGGTACAGCCAGGGCTCTGCTGGGCACTGCCATGGCCCACCGGGCCCCCTGCGTGGGCAGGATGGTATTTCCTTCCATGAGCCAGGAGGTGACTCATGAGCACTTGATAAGGACGAGCAGGTAGAACGAGGCCCGGAAGTCTCGCTGAAGGCTGCAAGAGCAGGTTTGGCTCGTTTCTCTGCAATGCGGGCATCAGCTTCCCAGGGGCTCACCCGTGCCTCCTGCCTTCCTGCCCTGCCACTGTTGTCAGCCCCACCCTTGCAGCCACCCAGCGCCTGCTCCTTAGGCCGGCACTCAAGGCCTCGGCGCCAACTTCAGCTTGACCCCCGTTTCCTGATGCAAACCCTCCACTCTGGCCACAGGACATGCCGTGACTGTCCCTCCTCTGAGCCGGCGCCTGCGCTCCCCCTCCGCGCCTGCCCTGCTCACCACTGTCCCCCACTAGGCGGACGGGGCACTTTTGGGGTCAGAACAACCTGATTTCAACCCCATACCTTGCCGACCTGTCGCGCTGGGAGGCGCTGGGCAACTTCCGGAACCTCACGGACCTTCAGCTTCTCTGTGCATAAAATGCCTTTCAATTCCACCCGTTTTTACTG